AATTTGATACGGATTGCAATGAATCTGTAGATTGCTTTGGGTAGTATAGTCATTTTCACAATGTTGACTCTTCCAAACCAAGAACATGGTGTATCTCTCCGCCTGTTTGTATCATCTTTAACTTCTTTCCTTAGTGTCTTATAATTTTCTGCATACAGGTCTTTTGTCTCCTTAGGTAGGTTTATTCCTAGGTATTTTATTCTTTTTGTTGCAATGGTAAATGGGAGTGTTTCCTTAATTTCTCTTTCAGATTTTTCATCATTAGTGTATAGGAATGCCAGAGATTTCTGTGCATTAATTTTGTATCCTGCTACTTTACCAAATTCATTGATTAGCTCTAGTAGTTTTCTGGTAGCATCTTTAGGATTCTCTCTATATAGTATCATGTCATCTGCAAACAGTGACAGCTTTACTTCTTCTTTTCTGATTTGGATTCCTTTTATTTCTTTTTCTTCTCTGATTGCTGTGGCTAAAACTTCCAAAACTATGTTGAATAAGAGTGGTGAGAGTGGTCAACCTTGTCTTGTTCCTGATCTTAGTGCAAATGGTTTCAGTTTTTCACCATTGAGAACAATGTTGGCTGTGGGTCTGTCATACATGGCCTTTATTATGTTGAGGTAAGTTCCCTCTATGTCTACTTTCTGAGGGTTTTTATCATAAATGGGTGTTGAATTTTGTCAAAAGATTTTTCTGCATCTATTGAGATGACCATATGGTTTTTCTCCTTCAATTTGTTAATATGGTGTATCACATTGATTAATTGCATATATTGAAGAATCCTTGCCTTCCTGGGATAAACCCCACTTGATCATGGTGTATGATCCTTTTAATGTGCTGTAGGATTCTGTTTGCTAGTATTTTGCTGAGAATTTTGCATCTATGTTCATCAGTGATATCGGCCTGTAGTTTTCTTTCTTTGTGACATCTTTGTCTGGTTTTGGTATCAGGGTGATGGTGCCCTCCTAGAATGAGTTTCGGAGTGTTCCTCCCTCTGCTATATTCTGGAAAAGTTTGAGAAGGATGGGTGTTAGCTCTTTCGTAAATGTTTGATAGAATTCACCTGTAAAGCCATCTGGTCCTGGCCTTTTGTTTGTTGGAAGATTTTTTTAAATTTTATTTTATTTATTTTTTTATACAGCAGGTTCTTATCATTTTTCTATTTTATACATATTAATGTATATATGTCAATCCCAATCTCCCAATTCATCACATCATCCCTACCCACCACTTTCTCCCCGTGGTGTCCATATATGTTGGAAGATATTTAATCACAATTTCAATTTCAGTGCTTGTGATTGGTCTGTTTATATTTTCTATTTCTTTCTAGTTCAGTCTTGAAAGGTTGTGCTTTTCTAAGAATTTGTCCATTACTTTCAGGTTGTCCATTTTATTGGCATATAGTTGCTTGTAGTAATCTCTCCTGATCCTTTGTATTTCTGCAGTGTCAGTTGTTACTTCTCTTTTTTCATTTCCAATTCTGTTGACCTGAGTTTTATCCCTCTTTTTTTTGACGAGTCTGGCTAATGGTTTATCAGTTTTGTTTATCTTCTCCAAGAAACAGCTCTTAGTTTTATTGATCTTTGCTACTGTTCCCTTCATTTGCTTTTCATTTATTTCTGATCTGATGTGTATGATTTCTTTCCTTCTGCTAACTTGGGGTTTTTTTGTTCTTCTTTCTCTAATTTCTTTAGGTGTAAGGTTAGGTTGTTTATTTGAGATGTTTCTTGGTTCTTGAAGTAGGATTGCATTGCTATAAACTTCCCTCTTAGAACTGCTTTTGCTGCAGCCCATAGCTTTTGGGCCATCGTGTTTTCATTGTCATTTGTTTCTCAGTCTTTTTTGATTTCCTCTTTGATTTCTTCAGTGATCTCTTGGTTATTTAGTAGTGCATTGTTTCGCCTCCATATGTTTGTATTTTTGACAGTTTTTTTTCCTGTAACTGATATCTAGTCTCATAGCATTGTGGTCCGAAAAAATATTTGCTATGATTTCAATTTTCTTAAATTTACAAAGGCTTGATTTGTGACCCAAGATATGATCTATCCTGGAGAATGTTCCATAGCACTTGAGAAGAAAGTGTATTCTGTTGTTTGGGATGGAATCCTATAAATATCAATTAAGTCCATCTTCTTTAATGTGTCCTTTAAAGCTTATGTTTCCTTACTTATTTTCATTTTGGATGATCTGTCCAAAGGTGAAAGTGGGGTGTCAAAGTCCCCTACTAGTATTGTGTTACTGTCAATTTCCCCTTTTATCGCTGTTAGCATTTGCCTATATATTGAGGTGCTCCTATGTTGGGTACATTAATATTTACAATCGTTGTATTCTTCTTGGATTGATCCCTTGATCATTATGTAGTGTCCTTCTTTGTCTCGTGTTTATTTTAAAGTCTTTTTTGTCTGTTACGAGAGTTGCTACTCCAGCTTTCTTTCGATTTCCATTTGCATGGAATGTCTCTTTCCATCCCCTCAGTGTCAGTCTGTATGTGTCCCTAGGTCTCAAGTGGGTCTGTTGTACGTAGCATATATACGGGTTTTGTTTCTGTTTCCATTCAACCTATCTATGTCTTTTGATTGGAGGATTTAATCCATTTACATTTAAGGTAGTTATCGATATGTATGTTCCTATTACCATTTTCTTAATTGTTTTGGGTTGGTTTTTGTAGGTCTTTTCCTTCTTTTGTGTTTCCTGCCTAGAAAATTTCCTTTAGCATTTGTTGCATAGCTGGTTTGGTGGTGCTGAATTCTCTTAGCTTTTGCTTGTCTGTAAAGCTTTTAATTCCTCTGTTGAATCTGAATGAGATCCATGCTGGGTAAAGTAATCTTGGTTGTAGGTTTTTCCCTTTCATCACTTTAAATATGTCCTGCCACTCCCTTCTGGCTTGCAGATTTTCTGCTGAAAGATCAGCTGTTAACCTTATGGGGATTCCCTTGTAATCTGTTGCTTTTCCCTTGCTGCTTTTAATATTTTTTATTTGTATTTAATTTTTGATAGTTTGATTAATATGTATCTTGGCATGTTTCTCATTGGATTTATCCTGTATGGGACTCTCTGCACTTCCTGGACTTGATTGACAATTTCCTTTCCCATATTAGGGAAGTTTTCAACTATAATCTCTTCAAATATTTTCTGTCTCTTTTTCTCTTCTTCTTCTGGGACCCCTATAATTAGAATGTTGGTGTGTTTAACATTGTCCCAGAGGTCTCTTATACTGTCCTCAATTCTTTTCATTCTTTTTCTTTATCCTGGTCAGCAGTCGTTAGTTGCACTATTTTATATTCCAGGTCACTTATCCGTTATTCTGCCTCAGTTATTCTGCTATTGATCACTTCTAGAGAATTTTTTATTTCATTTATTGTGTTGTTTGTCATTGTTTGTTCGCTCTTTAGTTCTTCTAGGTCCTTGTTAAACGTTTCTTGTATTTTCTCCATTCTATTTCCAAGATTTTGGATCATCTTTACTGTCATTACTCTGAATTCTTTTTTAGGTACACTCCATATTTCCTCTTCATTTGTTTGTTCTGGTGGGTTTTTTACCTTGCTCCTTCATCTGCTGCATATTTCTCTGTCTTCTCATTTTGCTTAACTTACTGTGTTTGGGGTCTCCTTTCCACAGGCTGCTGGTTCATAGTTCCCGTTGCTTTTTATTGTCTGCCCCCAGTGGCTAAGGTTGGTTCAGTGGGTTGTGTAGGCTTCCTGGTGGAGGGGACTGGTGCCTGTGTTCTGGTGGATGAGGCTGCATCTTGTCTTTCTGGTGGGCAGGCCTGCGTCCAGTGGTGTGCTTTGGGGTGCCTGTGAACTTATGATTTTAGGCAGCCTCTCGGCTAATGGGTGGGATTATGTTCCTGTCTTGCTAGTTATTTGGCATGTGGTGTCCAGCACTGGAGCTTGCTGGTCCTTGAGTAGAGTTGGGTCTTAGTGTTTATATGGAGATCTCTGGGAGCGCTTTCACTGACTATTACATGGGGCCGGGAGGTCTCTGGTGGTCCAATGTCCTGAACTCGGCTCTCCCACCTCAGAGGCTCAGGCCTGACACCCAAGCGGCACACTGAGACCCTGTCAGCCACACAGCTAGGTACGTGGGGAGTTTCTTGCCTTTTTGGAAGTCTGAGGTCTTCTGCCAGCGTTCAGTAGGTGTTCTGTAGGAGTTGTTCCACATGTAGATGTATTTTTGATGTATTTGTGGGGGAGAAGGTGACCTCCATGTCTTACTCCTCTGCCATCTTGAAGGTCCCCCAGCTATTTAAGACTTGATTCTAGAACTCTGACTTTGAAGCTTACATTCTTAATTACTGTAGTATGCTGCTTCTTTTGATAATGTAAATGGGCTAAAAAATAAAACATAAAACCCATGCAAAATTTAACCTAGAATTCTAGCTTGCTACTTCATTAGTTTTTCTAGGCTATCAAATTATATTTTTATCAAGTTATTTGCAAGTAATTCTGTGTTTTTGAAAGTAATTCTTTTTTGAGCTAATATGTATAACTGTTATTCCTACTCTTTCAAAAGTATGTTTTATGTTGAAATACTACAGTAGAGAAGTTTCTATATTTTATCTAATTCTCTGTGTGTTGCTTTAGAGGAAAAAAAATGTATTGGTAAGACTGTGGTTCTGAAAATAAATAAGTTTGTGATACCTACTTCTCAAATTATTACATTTAATATAAGCTGAGAGCTTGACAGGAGAATATTTCTGTCATGAACTTTACATACATTTAGATTGACTATGGCCTCAGGGACACATGTACATTAAAATATGACCAAAAAAAAAACTGTTTTCAAATGCTAGCAGCAGACTTAGTAAAAAGCTTAGTGTGCTGCATGAAATATAACATAAGCAGAAAAGAGCATGTCAAGAATGGAAAAGCAACAAAAGCTCTAAACTCCATCTTTACTTGTGTGCTTATGTTCCAACAACAGCATACATTCAAATTAAACCCAAGTTTTCTTTTTAAAAATTAATTTAAATACATGAAAAAAACACAAATTATAGACTTTACCTCCTTCTCTTTGAACTATATGATAGAGGTGAACATTATGTAGAATACAATCTAGATCGTGGTCTGTATAGCCTTTATCATGCATGTCATCCACTGAATCTGGATAAATGACTTGATCCCGAAGACTTCCAAGAGACATGTACGGCCTGTAAAACACCAAGAACACAAGAATCTTAGTAGAAAATCAGTTTAGTTTACTCAATGTGACATCCTGGTGGTCTGAAAACTCCAGAGCAGACTTTAAATACCATATTTCTAGGATTATATTTATTACTTGGTGATGAGTATTTCTCTCTCAGGCGTGGCAGGATAAAACACTGTTATATTCATGTAAAAACATATAGAGACATAGCCACACGAAAAGTTTCTACAAGAAATACTTGGATGTTTTCAGCATAGAAATACATACTTGTTCTGTTGTATTTTATAAATGTTGCTTCTGTATTTCATCTAAAACTATGTGCGTTAAACATAAAATTTGAGGTTTTGACCCAGCAATGTGAACAAACAAAACTGAAAAAGTATCATTCAAAATAAGAGAAATGCAAATTAAAACTATACTGAGTTTCTTACTTATCACATTGGCAGAAGTTCAAAAGTTTGACAACTCACTCAATTGGCAAGTCTATGGAGACACAAGGTATTTTCATACAATGTGAAAATGCAAAATGGTACAACCCTTTGGAGAGGATTCTACAAACCAATATATCATGTGGTCTTTGACCCACTTCTAGGAATTTATTTTAAAGATATACTTCCAAAAATACACCACCATCAACAAAAAAATGTGTAAAGTTATCCATTACAGCATTCTTTGTTATTGCAAAATATTGAGAACAACCTAAATGTGCATACAAAGGAGACTGACTGAATAAACTATAGAACCTGCACTATGCAGCTATAAAATAGGATGTGGAAGATCTCTATGAATTGATATAGGGTGATTTACATAATATATTGTTAAGTTGAAAAGCAAAGTGCAAAGTAGATATATAGTTGGGTTTCTCAACAGTGGTATTATGGAGTTATTAAATCAGATAATTCTTTGTCACTGAGGTATATCCTGTGTATTATAGGATGTTTAGTGGAACACTTGATCTCTACGCACCAGATGCTACTAGCATCCACTGCAGCAGTGGCAAAAAAAAAAAAGTCTCCAAATATTATTTTGTCCCTTTAGGGGACAAAACCATCCCCATTTGATAGAACCACTAATATGTAGTATACCACTTCTATGTAAAATGAAAGCAAAATAAGAAAATATACATCTGTCTGCTTATATTTACAAAAGGAAACAGTAAACCAGAAACTAATGAAATCAGTTACCTATAGAAGATGGGAGGAACAAGGCAGAATAGATAAGGGAGGGAAAAGACCTCATTAAGAATACTTTCTATATAGTTTTTACTCTTAGAATCATGTTAAAGTGTTATTTTTTTTTAAATTTAACCAGTAAAATGAAGGAAGAAACCCTAAAATTGAATACAAACAGAAACAAATGAACTGAAAAGTATATCAAATGAATAACATAACCACATAAAACGGGGAGGAGGGACTGATCCAAGTAACTTTCAAATTTGGTTACATAATTTCAGTTGAAAACCAAAAGAACCACAAAGAAACCTTAAAACTAATTGTTCATGTTTCTTGTTGCTATAGGCTAGCAATTCTGAAACTATGTTGTAGGATTGATCAAATAAGCAAACGTTTTAATAACGTTAGGAGGTAAGGTTCTCGCTGTGGAAGAAGGAAGATACAAATATGAAATGTGGGAAGGTGAGAAAAATATTCTTTAACATTTAATTTGAATTAGAATATCGGCATGAATTCATAATTTTTTGAACAAAAATCTATTTCCTCGTTCTGTGTACATTTGCTGCATCCTGATACTACCCTTTGAGAAGATCACAACAGCATTTAGGAAGTATACAGGGTTGAATTGTGGACCTCAAAGATATGTCCAAGTCCTAACCCCTATTATTTGTGAATGTGACCTTATTTAGGAAAAGAAAAGGTGTTTGCAGATGTAATTAAGTTAAGGATCTTGAGATAAGATTATCCTGGATTAACCAGATGGGTCTTAAATCCAATAAATACCTTTAAAGAAGAGGAAAAACACAGGGAGGAAAGTCATGTGAAGACAGAGGCAGAGATTGGAGTTATGCTGTCACAAGCCTGGCACCACTGGAAGCTGGAAGAGGTAAGAAAAAATTCTCCCCTTGAGCTTCCAGAAGGAGGGTGGCCCTGCCAACACCTTGATTTTGGACTCCTGGCCTCTAGATCTGTGAGAAAATAAATTTCTGTTGCTTCAGACCAGCAAGTTTTTGGTTTCAGTAGATCTTGAAAACTAATGCAGGTAGTACTATTGCAAAAAAATGTGTAAACTGTATTGTTTCATTAGGAAGCTATCAGATAAACCCAAATTGTGGGACTTTATGAATATACAACAACATCAACAGTCCTGCACTCATTACAAATACCAATGTCATAAAAAACAAAGAAAGGCTAAGGAATTCTTTCACATTAAAAGAAACTAGAGCAACATGGCAACTAAAATACAATGTATGATGATGGACTGAGAAAAACAAGTTATTATAAAGAACAGTATTATGACAATTGGCAAAATTTGAACGTGGAAAGTTGTTGGAGGAGGTAATCAAGAGGACTTCACTGCCAGTTGACCTGTGAGCTGGACCCAGGCAATCTGACGCTCCAACCCTCTTCCCTGAACTTGGAATGTATGCTCAACCCACAGTTCCCACAGCTGCCAACTATTTTCAAGGACACAGACTTGAGGGAGCAATGTGGTGTTGAGACCCTATGGATGGTATACATGACCGAACCCCATGAAGGCCTCTATATAAACTTTTAAGATTCTGGTGGATAGAAGTGGAGAGGCTCATCTTGAGGCTGCCCATGACAAGCCTCAAATGTAAATTCCCTTGCTTATTAAACCTGCCATCCACCAATCTGGAGTGGTCTGCCTCTTTTTTCTGTCTCTTCTTGCCCACTGTGTACAAGGGCCGGTTTGAGAACCAACAAAAGTATGTTCAGATAATATTATATCAGTGTTAATTTTCATAAATTTGATCATCATACTATGTCTATATTAGAGACTATTCTTGCTCTCTGAAAATACTGTTCCTCATTGAGCAACATGGGTTTGAACTGCATGGGTCCACTTATACATGGTTTTTTTTAAATAGGAAATATTACAGTACTTTACAATCTGTGGTTGGTTGAATCTGCAGATGTGGAACAGTAGATATAAAGGGCCGACTATAAATTATACATAAAGGGCCAACTATAAATTATACACGGATTTTCAACTGTGCTGGGGTCAGCGCCTCTAACCTCTGCATTGCTCAAGTGTCAACTCTACACCCTAAAGAAGTTAGGGGTGAAGATTTATTTATAGCAACTTAAAAAAAAATGTGTGTGTGTGTGTGTGTGTGCGCAGAGAGAGAGAATTAAAGGTTTTAAATACAAACTGTGTTTGTAGATCAATTCTCTACCTATTTTCCCATAACATGTAAATGATTTAGTTGAAGGATAGATAGCACAAAAATTTATTTTATAACAGGTTTAACTAATATTTGAAAATCAAAATATTTATATTTCAATTATACATATATGCATTCATGTAATAAGATTTTCAATGGAGTCTTTGCAAATATAAGGAATCTCTAGTCATATTTTTTAAATTGAGGTATAATTCACATTATAAAATTCACCCTTTTAAAGTGTAAAATTCAATGATTTTCAGTATATTTACAAGCTCATGTAAATATCACCAGTATCTAATTCCAGAACATTTTCTTCACCCCCAAAAGAAACTCCATACCTAAGAGCAGGCACTCCTAGTTCTTCCCTCCTCCCAACAGCTGGCAATCACTAATCTACTTTCTGTATCTGTGGATTTGCCTATTCTGGAAATTTCACATATTTTCATATGTATGGAATCACACAATATGTGGTCTTCTTTCTGTCAGCATAATATCTTCAGGTTCACCCATGTTGTAGCATGTAGCAGTATTTCATTCCTTTTAATATCTGAATTAAATTCCATTGTATGGATACATCATATTTTGTTAATCTGGATATTTCAGTTGTTTCCACTATTTGGCTATTATGAATAGTGGGCATACACCTAGTAGCGGGGCGTATGGTAACTCTGTTTAACTTTTTGAGGAACTGACCAATTGTTTTCCCAAGTGGCTGCACCATTTCTAGTCACTTTTCTTCTACCATATTCCGTATGTCTTCTCCTGCTCTCTGATTTTTTTCCCTCTCCAGTCTAACCATATATTTTTTAAAAACAGAATTAGGACAAAAAGTTATTTGTTTATTTCCATCACTTTAAGCATTTATATAATGTGATATTATCTTAAATTAATATCTGGTAATAATAACAGTAGCATAAAATAGATACTGACCATCAGGGCCAGTGAACAATTTTTTAGTTGGTATCCTGAGACTACTAAGAAGAAATACAAGGAAATATTAGGAGTCAGTACTTTAGCTAACTTACAAAGTGATGCCAGTTCCAACTTAATGTAAATCAGAAGTATAGACACCCTTAGCATAAACCCCAAATATAATTCAATCCACAGAACAGCCATGACACAATACATAACTGAGACTGCAATGATTAAAATACATCTGAACATTCATTTCAATGGTGTTTCTACAGGATTCTACCATAAGACTTGATTAACTGGAAATATTTGATAAAATTATATTTTATATCTACATTTCGGGGAAGACAGTATAGAGTCATGGTTGTGATAATAGGCTTTGGGGAGATGGTTCTGGACTGGAATCCCAATCTCACCATTTACTAGCAATGTGACCCAAATTCTGAGCTATAGTTACGTCATTTGTAAAGTAACTCACTTTATTGCATTTGTTATGAGGGTTAAATGAAGCAGTAGTAGAAGTTTTTATAAAGCAATGTAGAGCACTTAGTACAGTACTACAGGCACATAGTATGCATTCAATAAACCATTATGGAGACAAAAAAGTTCATTTCAACTTAGTTATCTACCTATGTGAAAGGGCAATATCTTAAAAAAGAGCATAAGTTTGTTTTCTATGTCTGTGTCTCTTTGTATTTTGTAAATAAGTTCATTTGAAAACAAACTTA